ACAGCAGTGAGTCGCAGAACAGCAGCTCGACGGAAAAGCGCGAACGAGAGATCCGCGCAGCTTGACGAGATGAGTCGACGACGACGAGACTGGAAGTCCCTTCGTCGTCGATGGCGCGGGAGTTGGCGGTCGAAGGAGGGATCAACGCAGAATTAGCATTCGAGTACGAGAGTTTCGTCGTCGAGCACGAAGGCAAAGCCGAAGGTCAAGCGAGAGAATCGTCATCGGGTGAAACCCTAGCAGAGCAGCACGCCGCCAACGTCATTCTTATATATATATATATATACAATTTATCACTTCTTATAATATATATTTTTGTTAATATATTTATAAGTTAGGATACTAATATATTAATTATTACCATGCTTTAGTTCAACAAGGGGTTGTCGGTTCCAGATGACGGTTTAGCTGGTAGGCTAAGCCTGTCGACCCTAATTAAGGTTGGAAGGGTTGTCGCCCCCCGCCCCCAATTTCCTAATTATCTTAGTTTATTATAAATATGCAGTTATTTGGTTTTAGAATTCAATTTTTGTGTTTGAGAATTTTGTTTAACTTGCCTTCGACAGTTGTTTTCTAGTCTATAGTTGTATTTGAAAGCCAGAATGTACTCCAGCTATAACTCATCCGAGGAGGTGATCTTCTCTAAATGTTTGAGGGGTGCTCCAGCTATACCACTCTCCCGAGGGAATAATTATCCTCTACCTATTTCCCTTATCCTAGTAGTTGTCATCTTCCCGGCAACACCACCCTTCTCTATTGTTTCTGCCAATATTTACCCTAATACTTCCATTGGCTGCCGTCGAACTCCCTTCACTCCATCTTACCCAACCTCTTTAAACATATGCCAAAATGATCATATTGCCTAGAGTAATGAAAATTAAAGCTATTGTGTGAAAAATGAGGGTATTTCAGAAAAATATATTTTTTTTTGAATTTTTCGGTAGATCTGATTTCATACTTACCTTATTTTCTCGTATATTGCAGATACTTTTGCAGACAATAAGAGTAGATTAAAATAGTACAATTTGCATGGCAAGTTAATTTTTTATAATAAATAATTTTGTTTAATAATTTTATTATGTTTTATTATTGCGTGCAATAGAATCAAGATAAAAAATGAAAGGTGTTGAGTTTAATTTTTTGTTACAATTGAGTTTTAATAACAAAAACATCAAAGAAAACCTATTAGCTCTACCGCCACACAATTTGAACCCATTAATGTTACACAACAAGTTAACAATATAGACGAGAAAATAAGTTAAAAGTATTGATATGGCTTCAATAAATTTCGATCACCTTGCAAGAATCTCAAAGCATGGCACGAACCTGGAAATAGTTTTTTAGAAAGAAATGTTCAAAAAGTCATCCAAAATTTCAATATCAGCCAACTTGTACTCAAACTAACTGGCTTAACAAGCCGGACCCAACATTATCAAAATTGGTCCAATTCGAGTCAAATCAGGCCTAAATCAAGCCGTTAAACTACTTTTGAAAGCTTTTCGAGAATAATTGGAATGTCAAATGGATTCTGAAAGATGACATGCTTATAGTCAAATACAGTGTCTTGACAAAATGAATCCAACAAGCTCAAGATCGCTCAATTCTGATATCATTATGGCATTAAAATGTCCATCGAATGTCATCTGATCAAGGGGATCTATTTGGGTTGTCCGATCAAGAGTGGTTTCGATTCATTTCTTATTTGTAACTTTGACTCCATAAATAGAGTCCTGCCCCCCACATGAGAAAAAAACTTGACACTAGGCAAGAGGAAGACCAAAGTCTGCAAAAGAGGGAGCTACAACCCAGAATCTTGCACCGCAGATCCGGCCAACTCCAGTCGTCGATGCCTTCGGCCTCCGCTGCAGCTATTGCTTCCAATTGTCAACACCTCCGGTTAACTCCTATCGTCGACGCCTCTAGTTACCTCCTATCATCGCCGTCTATGTCACTGTCGCCTCTGGTTACCTCTAATTGTCACCGCCAGTCGTCTATATTATCGTTGCCTCCGGTTACCTCATATCGTCGCCGCCTATTGTCGACTCTAGCTGTCCCACCTTCTGCAGACTCAAGCCATCTCTGCCTGCGATAAACTCCGTCCTTCACCCTTCGGCCAACTTCAGCAGTTGCCACCCTCCGGCCAACTCCGATCGACGTCGTTCTGAAACCTCTGACTGGCGCTGCCTCCTACACCTCTGGCCACCGCCACCTTCGATAGTCAGCATCGTCGGCTACTGTCGACCATCATTGGCTGCCACCTACTCCTATCAATGAAATCTCTTATGAAGTCACAACATAAACCGCAAAACCTCAGTCTCCATTGCAAAGCAACAATGCACCCAACTTATGGTGCAATGAGATAGTTCAACAATAAACTCCCGAATATGGTGACTTTCTCTAAACACTTAAGACTCTCCATGCAGCTCTCAACTCTAGCCCTCGTGACCTACGGACGTCATCACAGCTCATCACTACGGCCTACATGATCCACAGCTCCCGACTTCGGTTCTTATGGTCTATGGATGTCATCTCAGCTCACCATTACGGCCAACGTGGTCCACAGCTCCTACAGCTCCCAACACCAGTCCGAACGACCTACATAACCAACTACGGCCTACATCATCCAAGCTCAACGCTAGGACCTACACAACCAACTACGGCCTAATTGGCCCACAACTCGTGTAGCTCCAAATTCCGACCCCTAAAACTTATGAACATCATCACAACTCACCACAATGACAACGTGACCAAATACAGACTACATAGTCCACAACTCAAACAGCTCCCAACTCTGGCCCTTGCAACCTATGGACATCATCTCAGCTCACCACCATAACCTACATGACCAACTACAGCTGAAACAGTCCATAGCTCGTACAACTCCCGATTTCGGCCCCTAAGGCCTACAAATGTCATCACAGTTCATCACTACGGCCTACGTGACTATGGTCTGCATGGTACACAGCTCCTGCATCTCCTGACTCGGATCTCTGCAACATAAGAATGTCGTTACAGTTTGCCACTACAGCCTGCCTGACAAACAACGTCCTACAGCTGTCAACTCCAGCCACAAAAACCTACAAACGTTATCTCAACTCATCATTATGGCCTACGTAACCAACTACAGTCTACGTGAACCACAGCTTGTACACCTCTTGTAGCCTATGAACATCGTTACAACTCACTACCATGACCTACATGATCAACTACAGCTTACGCGATCGATCCGCAGCTCATGCAACTCCCGACTTAGGCCCCTGCAACCTACATACGTCCTCTCAACTCACCACTACGACATATGTGACCAACTATGGCCTAAGTGGTCCACAACACGTGCAGCTTTCGATCTCGGCCCCTACGACCTACAGATGTCATCGCTGCTCACCGCTAGTGCCTACGTGACCAACTATGGTTTATGTGGCTCATAGCTCCTACAGCTTCCTACTACGGTCTATGTGGCCGACCGACACTCCTGAAGCAACCATATGCGGCCCTCATGATCAGTTACTACCATGGCTTTCAATTACGGCTTATACGACTGGTTGGCTCTACAACCATCGTCTGCAGTATTCACGGCGGACTATTGTCGTCATAACAATCGACTACAACCCTTGTAGTCTGCTATCACCGAGAACTACATTACAGTCAAACTACAGCTATTATCGGTGAACTATTATTGTATCTTTACAATGATCATCTTTATGACTCAATCTTCCCTAATTCATGAGAATAATAACCAACTACAGTCTACGTGAACCACAGCTTGTACGCCTCTCGACTCCGGCCTCTGTAGCCTATGAACATCGTTACAACTCACTACCATGGCCTACATGACCAACTACAGCTTACGCGATCGATCCGCAGCTCATGCAACTCCCGACTTAGGCCCCTGCAACCTACATACGTCCTCTCAACTCACCACTACGACATATGTGACCAACTATGGCCTAAGTGGTCCACAACACGTGCAGCTTTCGATCTCGGCCCCTACGACCTACAGATGTCATCGCTGCTCACCGCTAGTGCCTACGTGACCAACTATGGTTTATGTGGCTCATAGCTCCTACAGCTTCCTACTACGGTCTATGTGGCCGACCGACACTCCTGAAGCAACCATATGCGGCCCTCATGATCAGTTACTACCATGGCTTTCAATTACGGCTTATACGACTGGTTGGCTCTACAACCATCGTCTGCAGTATTCACGGCGGACTATTGTCGTCATAACAATCGACTACAACCCTTGTAGTCTGCTATCACCGAGAACTACATTACAGTCAAACTACAGCTATTATCGGTGAACTATTATTGTATCTTTACAATGATCATCTTTATGACTCAATCTTCCCTAATTCATGAGAATAATGGACATATGTACTCATCATTCATAGTGAATTATTTCAACTGGGCTAAGCCTCACAGATTTTTCACATTTTCAAGGTTTTTATGTAAAAAATCAAAGTGTTTCCTCGTACATACTTCTCTCCTTAAGTACCTAAGCGTAGGTGGGTTTTCGTTCAACACTAAGACGTTAAATTGATGACTATCGCCGCGGTCATTCCACTACGCATCAAGTATAAAATTAGATTTATTAAATAATTCAAAAGGATAATATGCTTCACAGAAATACTCTCATCATTAAAATTATTAATTTTAGTTTTCATTAATTTGTACAACGGGACTATTTTAGTCCCTGTTTAAAACATATGGGGACTAGATCAGGCAGTTTACTTAGTTTGGGACAGCAATGGTCCCTCACAAGTAGTTGTGATCATTTTGATTCTTCTCTCTTAAAAGAAGTTAGCCTTTCAAGTTGTGTACGAGTAATAGTTTGGTTCTTGATTTGAAGTACCAATAGCTAAGAATTAATGACAACAATTGTAGTCTACTAATAGACACTCAAACATGATGAAATCACATGCCGTTCTCAAGAGTTAGAGGAAGATCAAGCAAAACAATTGAGACATAACTTTTACAAAATTTCAGGCTTTTTTACTTACAGCCGTCTGAGATTTACAAACTGGTACATAAATTTGGGGATCTCTCCAGATATACCACAGTTCCTCAATGTCCTACACAAGAAATCAATATATTGACACCAATAAATATCATTGAGATACACATTAAAAGTTACACAACGAAGAGTACCAAACTTACATATATTGCAGTTGTTCAATACCTTGCAACTGTGGAAAACCAGAGTTACCAACTATGTCACTGATTCGCCTGCTAACAGAAAATTCTTGTTAAGCTTTCTGAGATGCTCTCATAGAATTTATACAGAAATTAAGAATATAAGCTTTTGCATACAAGTCATCCAAATTCTTCAAACGAGAAATTCCTGAAGGAATGGGCCCTTCAAGTCCACTGGCTTGAAGGTCTCTGCAACAAATAAATTTATATATTGAATGCAATAGCAGAATTATTCATCATAGAAAAAGGAAACCATGAAAACATAAAAATGTAAGTTTCAGGAGAACCGAATGCTTACAGTCTTACAAGTTGTGTCCAATTCTGGATAAATTGTGGTATCTTTCCATTGAAGTTGTTGCTACGAATCATACTGCACCACCATTGTTTAATTAAAAATCAACATTTTTAGATAAATGTTGCAAATACACTTATATGATCACCAAGCACTAACAAGTATTTCAAATTGGTTAAATTAGCAAATGTATCTGGCAGTTCCCCAGAAAAAAAGTTGGCTGATAATTTACTGCAAAACCATAAAAAAAAACGTCAGAGGGAATAAGTAACAGCATCTTTGAAATAAATAAATAAAAAATAGGAGAAAGTGGGGAAAAAGTTAAGAAAAACTCACAGCATCTCTAAGCTTTTGAGATTCCCAATCTGCTTTGGTAAAGAACCCATAAGTAGATTATCTTCTAATGACCTATGGAACAAATTAGAGGAGTTGGTTGGAGAAGTTAGTTCTGACAAAGTACTAACCTTTTCTAAAGATGTGAAAATTGGAAAAGGAGAGAAGGCAGAGGAATAACCTACAGGTTTCTAAGGGTTGTAATGTTCCCAATCCATGAAGGGATTTGCCCTGAAATTCGATTGCCATTAAGAGAACTACAACAACACAAATTCCAAATAGTTACAAAAGACTTGCAGCAATTTCTCTGCTAGTGCATTTTCAAGCTAAGCAATCAAAAAGCACCCTACAAATTCACAAGTGGCAGAACAGCTAACTCTCTCGGAATGGAACCATATATATAGTTGACAGAAAGGTCACTGTCAAGAAAGGATCTTGTCGTTAATTAAAAAACAGAATCAAGATCTGATGAATCTTGCAACAATTAACTAATTAAGTGGCAAACATTTGTTGGAGAAACGGAAGCCTTGCCAACTCTCGTGGGATCACTCCCACAAGGTTCTGACGCTTGAGAACTCTGCAAAACACAAATAATACAGAAGAAATAATAAGCCCATATACTCTGTTCATTGTTTGAACTCAGCAGATGAGACCTTACATGCTTGTCACATGGCAAACACTTCCATCATTAGAACATTTATTGCACCACACGCTGTTTTCATATCGCCTAGGAGCATTATGAGTAACCCAACTCGGTGCTTGGCTACACGGATCCAAACTAAAATCCCAATTGGTTTTATTTATAGCCCTAGCGATGCTTTTGAGGGCTTCAACTGATCGATTAAGAGAAACAACTCTAATTAGAGAATGATGATCCAGAGTAATAGACATGATTGCTTTTAACAACAGTAGGCATGCCGGGAAAAAATCTCAAGAAACAAATTTAACTAAAAAGGATAAATCGTTTACTCTCTTCCGGTGGGAGACGCGCCAGAACGAATTGAGTAACGAAACCAAGGGCCAGAAAAAGAATGAACATTGCAGACTGCTTCACCATTTCTCGACCTAAGCTTTGGCGGATTACAGCTTCTTAGCAGCAGGTAATAGAAACAACTCACTTTACATGCAGAATGATTCTTCGATGTTGACACTCATCCTCGATGAGAAGACTCGGACGAAGTCTAGCAGATCTACAAGCCAGACTATCGTTCACCATGCCAAGTTAGAATTTGAACGGTGCGACAGCGAAGTATTATCAGTCCAAACCACGAGCAAAAACCAGCAATATGACGCCACTAAATTGTCCATATCTGTCGGTAATAGCCATAATCTACAATGAAAATTACATTAAATATATTAAAATTAAGACTGACTTTAAAATATTATTAACTTCTAAGCGTCAGTTTGGGTAGGCTGCAGCACATTTATTTGTTTATTTATTTATAATATAAAAATAGCAGTGTTGCAGTTGAAACAAAATTATCATATTAGTAAATTTTATACTTTACAAATAAAAATTCACTACAATAGGAGGGAGCATGGGAGTGGGAGCATAAAATGAAACACAATACAAAAATTTTTGAATGTAAGGGTCTGTTTGGGGCAGCTACAGTTTAGCTGCACCAGGAAACTATTGTGGGGAAGTTCGCTGGCTCTTTGTTTTAGCTGATTGAAAATAGTTGTGTAACAATTATTTTTGGACAAATTACTATTTTGCTCATATTTAATAATACTGTTTATAATAAAATTATCTTAGTCAAATATTTAATACTTTAGAAGCAGAAATTAAATTCGGAATAGAACAATATTTTAGATGCACAGCTCACTTAATATCGAGTATCAATAATCTCCACAAAAAAAAGTAAAAACTATTAAAAATTACAGTTAATATCATGAGCATATTGTTCTTAACATACAGACAGTGTATGTCTCGTGCTACATTGTCCTCTAGTGATTGCATCCATTACAGATCACTGTCAGTGGTGAAATCCGCAGGATTGTCTACCTACCGAAAGAAGTCACACTGTTTTATGATGATTCGTGGGCAACAAGAACTGTCTCTTGTAGCTATGGACCCGACTTGACGTCATTAGTGAAGTATGTAGTATACAATGACAGAGCAATCGTTGGGGTATCCTTGAAATCCTTGAGCTCATCTTTCTTGAATGCTGCAAAAGACAATGCATTAGTGAAGACAGGTATTGAATTTGCTAAGAAAAATTAAAAAACTACACACTTACAATTTACATAAAAATTTCAAACCAGCAATATAAAATCTAAAATACAAATGCAGCTAAAGAAAGGAAATATAACATTGAATGCTCACCATCTGTTGTGAATGTTAGTAACGTTCTGACAAATGAAATGAACTACGCATGGTAATAAATAAAGTATAAACAATCCAATTAACCACCTTTTAATGCATCAGTAATTTGCTCCCTTATCTCCGCTATTTCACTTGCACCCTCCCCCTCTTTAGTACGGATGATGGAAAGATCGCTCTAAACTCATGAAAAAGAATGCCCAATATGGTACTCAAATGCTTCTGGAGGTATATGCTCTTGGTTCTCGTCGGTCCTACGAAGTCAATGTCATTGCAGTAAGGATGTCGTTGAATGTTCACTTCACCGGATCCTAACCCAAGTCCGTTGATCCTCGCTTCAATTCCTTTCAAATTTTCCAATCTTTGATGTTATTTTGCCACTCTAATAACACATCAATAATGCTGCAATAATGCAACTCAAACCAGACCACATCTACATATGTTTCCTAGCAGCGAACATAAAAATGATGGCAAAGATGATATGTTGTCATTTCTTCCAATATTTTCTTATTATATTCCTCAATGGGTATCAGTAGTTATGCACTATATGTTGTCATTCCTACATTATTGTAGTCTTATTGTGGTATAATTGGGGTGTTATCATGATGTTATTTTATAACTCTAGTGACACCTCAATAATGCAACAATAATATCACTCAAATAGACCACAACTATATATTTTCTAGCAGTGAGCATAAATTGATGACAATGACGATATGTTGCCCTTTCTCACAATATTTTCTCATCATATGCCCCAAGGGGTATGAGTCTCTATGCATAATATGTTATCACAATAATATTCTAAGGTTATCTATTTCACTTCCTCACTTCAAGGTATGTGTAATTGAAAAATATGTTTTTCTTCTCATAAGAATGGTCCACATGATATTACTACTTAATTTCAGTCACAGAGCATGAATTTCTACATATGTTTTTTAACAGCGAGCATAAAATTGATGACAAAGATGACATGTTGTCATTTCTTACAATATTTTCTCATTTTATGCCTTAAAGAGTATCAGTCCCTATGCATAATATGTCATCACAATAATTTTTTGAAGTTATCTAATTCATTGTCTCACTTCAGAGTGTCTGTGTGATCGAAAAATATGTTTTTTTCTCATAGGAATGTTACACTTGATATTAATACTGAATTTCAGTCATAAAGCATGAAATTCTATATATGTTTCGTAGCAACAAACATAAAAATGATGCAAAGATGATATATTGCCCTTTCTCCCAATAATTTATCATTATATGCCCCAAAGGGCATCAGTAGCTATGCATGATATGCTTTCACAGTAATTGTCTGAGACAATCTATTTCTTCGTCTCACTTCATAGTGCGTCTGTGTGATTGAAAAATGTGTTTTTCTTGTCTTAAGAGTGCCCCAATTGGTATTATTTATGAATTTCAGTAATAAAGCATGAAATTCCACATATGTTTCATAGCAGTGAGAATAAAAATGATGACAATTAAGATATGTTGCCCTTTCTCCTAATAATTTCTCATTATATGCTCTAAAGGGTATCAATAGCTATGAATAATATGCCATCACAATAATTTTTAAGGCAATATATTTCACCACCTCATTTCAGAGTGTGTGATTGAAAAATATGTTTTTTAACCCTAACATTTGCAATTTGATTTGCATCATCATGCTCAAACAGACAACTATATATGTTTCTTAGCAGTGAGCATAAAATGATGAAAAAAATGATATGTTGTCATTTCTTACAAAATTTTATCATTATATACTCCAAGGGGTATCAGTAGTTATGCATAATATGTCGTCACAAAAATTTTCAAAAACTATCTATTTCACTGCCTCACTTCAAAATGTGTGTGCGCGAATGAAAAATATACTAAACAACGATTCAAGAAATATGAGCGAAGAATTTGCTATACAAAGCAAACTCAGGAGAATAAAAAAATTTTCAAAGTGAATACAGAGAAATGTGATAATAGAAGAAGATAGTGTAAGGAAAGATGGGTTAGGGCAGAGAAAGCAGGAGCTCCACGAGGAAGGTAAGAGCGGAATTGAACACGAGGTGGAATCCAGGGGCTGGCGCATCAATCGGAGAAGAAACGAGGGCCGCAGGGTCAAACTCACAGCTTGCATTTTGCTAAACGACATGATTTTGCTAAACGGCATGGCCGCGGTGAGCAAAATGCCGGCCCAAAAGGGCCCTAATTGTGGAATTAGAGGGCAACTATGAAAGGTTGTGAAAATTCTAATAAACATACAATTAAATTATAACAAACATGGTTCACATGCTTACAAAAGTATTCATCTACATCAGTCACTTGCAAAATATTCATTTATGATACAAACAGTTAGAATACGCGAGATAACTAGAACAATTACATATGTAGGATCACATTAGGCAACAAAAAACTTACAATAAGTTTCATTAAAGGAGTTCAAAATTTTTGTCATTTAGACAAACAAAAAGATACAACCCTAAACAAAAACATTACATACATCTTTGATACACTTTGGTTTACATCGTTTGCACTTTTTAATACACGGAAAGGATACCAATGACAACAAACATCAATGCAATTATAACTTTCATAAGGAACTTTAAATCCTCATAATTTCGTTCTTCATCTCCTCCATCGATTCTCTTTCAAAATATTCTCGATCGAACTCTTCAACATCCATTTCATCAACCCATTTTAAACTACTTAAGTTTGTGCACGGTAAGATTTCATGGACATCAATAAAATATTCTTCCACGACTTTGTTCTCTATGACCGGTGAACACCACACATTATTAATCACAATAACAATAAGTTTTACGCAATCCGACACCTCTCGAGCTTGAAGCTTGACTTGAATTCATCTTCTGCAACAAAGCTATAATAAGGTTATTATCAACTACCAGAAACTTCATTAAAAGTAATATGAACTTATCTCTGTATGAAAAAAATGTATTTCACCTTACAAAAATGGATTCTAAAAAATTACCTGGATATAATCCATACACCTGATAACGTTTGGGTATTTCTGCACTTCTTCATTAGAAATATGACTCTATCAAGAAGCAACGCAAAATGACAATAAAAAAAAAGGTATGAAGAACCGAGATTGTAGTGCCCCTACATTCACAGTAGTAACAACAATACCAAAAAAAATAAACTCCATTGAGAATCTAAAAGCATGATTAAAGACGAGCATGGCCGATTGACAAACTAAACCAAAAAGAGATTCATGAAAAATAAGTTAAAAAAAAACAAGCCAAACAACTCAACACAGACATGTTCCTTAAACTAAATTCCATGAGGATGATCAAAAGAAATATTTGAAAACAGATATGGATGAGACTGCTTCCCTAAAATAACCAAAGCATATTACTAGATGAACAAACATAACATCACATGAAAGTAATAACAATTAAAACAACACTGTTTACTATATTGAAAATAAATATATTACCTAAGTGAAATATTTAGCATATTCAGCTGCCGAATTACTTGTTCAGCTCACGAAAAATGGGCTCATTTGCTTTTAGTTCACCTCCAAATATCAAGGAATTCCACTTCCATTTACAAAGAGGTATAGAAAATCTTCCGAATTACTAAAATAGAAACCACGCAAAATGACAAACAAATAAGATGACTAAAAAACGGCTCGCATACATGAAATCGTGAATTCTTTTTTGTACTATAACAGAGCAAAGTAACAAGCAATTAATCAACATTTCAACCTATATTTCTAGTTTTTGAGCTCGAAGGAAGGCTAACTAGGTGTAGTCTTTCGGTCATAGTTCTGAAATAAATTCTTTTTAACACTCATAGCTATCTGCAATGTTAAAATTTTGCCCATAAATTTGAGATTGTAGCAACTTATAATATAAAAAATGCATTCCTCATAATTTTGTGATAAATTACTTGCTTCTCGTGATCTTGCATTCGTAAATATGCGTTTCTGACCAAAAAAATCCATAGCTCTTTTCTTCTTTTCAGTCCAGGTTTCTTCTCTTGATCTTGCATTGGTAAATATGCAATCAATTTTTTTTCCCTGAGTCTGTGTGATTCGGAGCCTGCAATTTGTGGAGACCCTTCCATGAACTCTTCCCAAACCAGATTTATATATTTTGGCGTGATCACAGAAATCATGAAGAAATATAAATTTCGGCTTACCAAATTGAAGTTTCTTAGTCTGATCAAAGAAATAAAAAAGAAAAACCCTTGCGCATGAATGATCGGATAAAGGAGAAAGTTCCTTAAAGTTTAGACAATGGGAGGGAGAAGAAGACCGTAGAAGAAGGTGCGATAGAAGGAGGAAGAAGCTCCTCGACAAACGATCGGAGGAAGCACGCTTGCGAGCTCTCCCGAATAAATGAATGAGGTGGCGAGCTCGGGAAGGAGGTGGTCGAAACGACGAATGAGCGTAAAAGACGGGAGGGAGACAAAGTGGTATAAAGTTTATGAAATTATGTTCGGGGTGGTAAATTAATAAATAAAAAATTTAGATGTTGGATAGGTAAATACATATATTTTTAGTGTTATATAGGTAAAAACTTGTATAAAATGATACAACTAGCATCTATAAGAAAATATAAAATAGAGATGAAAAATTAAAACCTTTGTGGAAAAAAGTTTTAAGTGCGGACTTTAATAATATATCACACCTAAAAATACATTAAAGTGGAACTGCAGAGTTTATTGGAGTGAAACCGTGATGTTTATTGGGATATTAATTTTAATTGCGTCGAAGTAACCTCTCAATAATCTCTAATATCTCCCCAATAACCTCCGCGGTCACATTCCAATAATCTTCAGTACCCTCAATAACTTGCAATAACCCAAATAAACTCTAAGATTTCACTTCAAACCCCTAATAACTCCACATAAACCCTAAATAACGTGCTAATCACATTTGCATTTCAGTTTAATAACTCTCAAATAACCTCCGAACTCTCATGTAAATTTTTCTCACATTTGTGGAAAAAAAGACCTACGCAGCGCTATATCCGTCAGAGAGATTATTTAGAAGGTATTAGGAGATTATATCCGTGTTATAACTCTGTAACATGTAACTTATACATATATATATATATATATATATA